CAGTCTTTCCATGGGGTGACGCAGGCACTGCCTGGTGTCCTGTTCCCTTAAATCCCAGCTTTTTAAAAAGGAAAATGATGCTGAGCAGGAGCTCCAGATACACCTGCAGTACCCCTGTCCAGCGTTGTGTGATCTTAGTGTTTTTTTGTCTGCTCAGTCCCCATTCTCACTGTTGTGTGAAAAGCCTCCAAGAAGCTGGGGAAAGTTTTTTGGTCTTTGCAGGGAATACTGTTTGCAAACATAAGCTGAAGGAAAACGGCCAAGTGTCTCACTTTGCTTTCTCACCCTCCCTCCCCAGTTTCCTCACAGTTTTTTAAGGATAATAATTTTATGTGCTACATGCAGGAAAGGTGAATCTTTTAAAATGAAATGCATTAAAATCACATTTTTGCTTTAAGGTGATGATGTGCCTTGAAGCACTTTGATTGAAAGGAGTTCTTTTGGGTAATGGTGGAAACTTTGCTTCTGCTGCATGTCAGCGATTTTTATCCCTGGGATTTGAAATTTGGCACTAAGGTATATTCTTTATTGGTGATTTCTGTGATAACAAGTCCCAGTGCTGCAACATGGGTATGGCACAGATGTGCAGCTCCCCCTTTAGCATGGAAGAGCTGACGTTCATATGATATTAGTGTGTGTGTGTTTTCATTTTCTCCTCAGCAGTGTTTAGTGTACATGAACATGGTATGTTTAATATGGGATATTCTCTCCTTGGAAAAAGAAAGGGGCAAGGGGCAAAAGAGAAGACCTTGACAGAAACCACTTGTGGTGGAAGAGGCCGCTCTGAGATGTGCTTGGTGTGTTCTTGGTGTCAAAGGCCTTTATGCTTATTTTCAAATGGTTCTTTTTAAGGTAGTCACTGTGCATGGGTACAGAGAAGGATAAATGTGTTATTTCGTGGGACTTCTCTAGGGGAATCAAAATGTGGAGGTTATGTGATCTTGTACTGATCTGAGATGCCCAGGATGCTTTCAAATAGTAAGTATCTGTTTTTTAATAGGAAAATTCCCGTTAACGACGGCGATGCGCCGAAAAGCAGACTGGAGTTGAGGGAAGAAAATCACCTGAACCACAGTGTGGTAAGAAGTTAAAAGCTTCATGCTGCAGATCAATCCATGCCTGTTCTCCCCACCTCGACTCCTGCCCCTGGTGTTACTGCATGAATGATTAAAACACGTTTTCTGTTGCAGCTCTGGTGGGCTTGGGCATGTGTGAGTTGTTTCTGTGAATCAGTGAAAATGAGGCTTTGTTTATTTATCTTGTTAATTTCTTGACGCTGGACTTGTGATGTATGTTGCTGTTGTATGATGTCAGGTTCTTAGTTTTGCTGTTATGAATAATGTCGTGCAGGATACTAGCACGTGTAACGAGAAAGTAGTTCATGTAAGCATTAAGTCCAACACTGTTTCAGCAAAGTCGGTGAGTTTTTTCCTTCTTTGAGTGTACATGGGGAGCAGCAAGTGGGGAGGAAATTCGACGGTGGACCTTTCTTCATGCTGCATCCTCAGATGCCTCACCCCATGAATCCTGTGGTGCTGGTGAGCCCTGGAGCAGAGCTGTGGCAGTGGGAGAGGTCCTGGAGGAGGAGGAGAGGCACTCCATCCTTCTCTTTCTGATCCCCATGCCGCAGCCCACGTCCTCTTTCTCTGGCAGGGCCGGGACTGAGCAGCCAGTTGTCTCACAGGAGCAGTGCCACTGAGTACTGCCCCTGGGCCACTTCTGCCTGCTTGGGTCCTCACGCCTTTCTTTTCTGGCTGTTGAATTTTGGACACATAGATGTGTTGGATATGGGTCGTGTTGGTGTTTGCAGTGTTATGTATATTGGTCTGTAGGTTCCTGTTCTCCCATTTTCCAGTGTGATCAGCCTCTGTATGTTTTCACAACAAACTGCATGTTTGCATTGTTACTGTTTCTCTTCCAAAATGTTGATCTGTCTGTAGCTTGAGTGGTAGTGGTGGTAGTGAGATGTGAAAGTAACATACTTCTTATTCTATAAAGGTGGATGCGACTACAGCACATCGCATCGACAGTCTCGCGGCTCTGAGTATGGACAGGTCTGGACTCATGCGAGAAGGACTCAGAGTCCCCAGTAGTATTGTCTATTCCAGCTTGTGCGGACTTGGCTCAGAAAAATCACGGGATGCTACAAGTTCAATAGCCAGCCTTGGATTTACTCCTGAAAGAAATCCAGAGATACAGTTTAAGTCTAATCCGCCCGAAGCGGTAGAAAGCGCAGCTGTCTCTGGAAAAGCCCCGAATGGCTTCAGCGCCATATACAAAACGCCACCTGGAATACAAAAAAACTCTGTCCCGACGGGGGAGACGCTGGGTTTGGACCGAGCTGCAGGTGACAGGCAGAGTCCCCTCGGTGTCAATGGTGCTAGTTACCTAAGGCTCCCCTGGGTTAACCCCTACATGGAGGGCGCGACGCCCACCATATACCCTTTCCTTGACTCACCAAATAAGTATTCGTTGAACATGTACAAAGCGTTGATACCTCAGCAGCCCACCTACAGCTTACCGCAGCACCTGGCCTACTCGCCCGTGTGTACGAACGGTGAACGTTTTTTATCCCTGCCTCCCTCCCACTATGTCGCCCCCCACATCCCTTCATCGCTCGCGTCGCCCATGAGGCTCTCGACTGCTTCGGCTTCACCAGCAATCCCACCCTTGGTGCACTGTCCGGATAAGAGCTTGTCATGGAAGATGGGTGTGAGCCCGGGC